AGACCAAAACTGATTATTGTATGAGAAGCCTGGTTAATCTTATAAATAACAGATTCTTTTGTGAGAGCAATGATTTAACAATGTTTACATATTTCAGTTAGCAGCATCAAGATTTTCAATTTCAGTTATCCCTCTTATTGGGATTTAGTGCGGATTTGGGGTAATTGTGAGAAATAATTGCACATGTTGCAATAAGCACATGTTGTTTTCCTGAATGTTATGCCAAGAGCTTCGCCTTAAAGGAAGATGACTTTTACAGATGGATAGGACCAGAAAGAATCTTCAAGCACTTCTTGTTTCAGCGTCTCCTTGATGTTTACTCTCTGGCCCATTGTAGTCCCTGTGCTTTAAACAATTCATCTCATGCATAAGGAAAATCTATGAGAGTTTTACAGATTTCTCTACTTCTAAAGCGAGGCAGGTGAGAATTCTACCACTGAACCCTTGCGGTCACCCTCTCCCTTGCCTTTACAGACGGCTGGAACTCTGTCTTCGGAGTGTGTATTGACCTTTACTTTAACCACCAGCTGCACCCCCACCCGGCCCTTGTGTACATCTCTCTAAATAAATCTACTTTTACTCAAAAAAAAAAAAAGCAGGAGGTTGTTAAATCACTTTCTGAGTCACTTTCATTATTTCCTACTCTTCCCCTGAGGAAATCCTGAATCATAAACTTAAATGCTGGAGTACCTCCCTGTCAACTTAAACACTCCAGAGCTGGGAAGAGAAAATAAGCGACCCTGAGTTATTACCTGGAAAGGTATGACCAGATTGATGGCTTCTCCAACTCTGCGGATATAGGTTTGCTTCAGGTGCCTTGGGATGCGAATCTTTGGAGCCTCTGAGTGAGAGTGGAAGAGCATAATTTTGAGTCAGTACAGTACACTGGAGACAGCCTCACATAAGCATATTTCGCATGACACTCCCCAGGATCTCCCTGTGTGCATGACTTGGCAGTAAAATCTTAGATGGGCCACTAACAGATTATATACAGTAACTTTGGTTCCGAACGTTTCCTTCTAGAAGAGAGGTTTTAACAGTTTGACTCAACAAGATTTACCCTTGACCTCCTTCATTTTACTGCAACTTCCTATTTTTATTATAAGCCTAAAGCAACTTTATAGAAAAACACTAAATTTTCTCTTAGGACTTTATATATTATAACCTAATATACATACATATATAGAGTTCATAATTTCTAACACTGAGTATACTCTCCAATGAACATTCCACAAAAGATCCACAGGCCCCACATTAGCTGGCAGGACAGCCCATTTCTCCTTACCAGAAAAGAAAAAAAAAGCTTTAGCACCTAGCACTTGTTATTTTTGTAATTATTTTAGGATTTGAGGGTAAATTTCTCCCTGTATGACTATGGTGAAGCATGTAATAGGCAGCCCTAGCCCACTGTATATTAATGTTCATTCATTAAACACCATGAAGATCCTAGAACATGTGGGTGTAGACCCAGCAGAAGCAGACTCAAGGCTCATGGCTCACAGGGACGACACTTGAGTTTTACAAGACACAGGTCTTACCACTTGAGTGCTCAGTATGTAACAGACACTGGGACAAATGCTTTTCATGAAGGGACCAATTTAAACCTCACAGCTGCCTTATGACACAGGTACTGTATCTACTTTGCAATAAAGAAACTACAGCACAGGGGTTGAGGCAACTTGCCCAAGGTGACACAGCCAGGATTAGAACCTGGGGCCAGCCTCGAGGGCTTACGCTCTGCTGAGCAGCATGGACAGTAGAGTCAGAGAGATCTGGGTTTGAGTTCTACATCAGACAGTAGATCTGGCCCCAGTCTATTCTGTAAAATCAGAATGATCACAGCATCTAATCACAGGTTGGTTTTAGTATCCCATTACACTCTTAAAAATAACCAAAAGCCCCGAAAAGCTTTTGATTACATGGACTGTATCTATAGTATTTACCATATTAGAAATTAAAACCAAGAAATGTTGAAATATTTATGTACTTATTGAAAAATAACATAAATGACATTTTAATGAAAGCAACCATATTTTACATCAACGAAAATTTGCGATTTGAGTAGCATTACTTTATTAATTAGGCAAATCTCTTTAATGTCTGATTTAATAGAGGACAGCTGAACTCTCATATTTGTTTCTGCCATTAGTCTGTTGCAATAAGCTGTATGGGCTGAGGCACATGGAGAAAATTTAGCTTCACACAGACAGGAGGAATATTTTAATAAACCTTACAGACAATTGTGGGTATTCCTCTTTGATTCTACACTAAAGCACAATAAAATGTAATGTCTTAAGGGTTAGCTACAATGTGGAATCTGAAACCTTCTATGAACTTTTTAGACTCTGTTATATTAAAATCCATTGGTCCATCTTCCATTTTGAATGTATCTTTTACACATACAAGATTTTTAAACATGCACTGGTCATTTGGAAAATGCTGCTTCACTGAATTATGCAGATCTTCCAAAGGTTGAAACATGGTATTATCTGATATCAAAAATTAGATTAATTAATATCACCACCTAGTTCATTGAAAAAGTTTCTAAGCCTTGGAAAGCTGTCAAGTCCATGATGGTGGATATCCGTTTTCCAAAATTCTGATTTCTTGCTTT